TATGCAGAGATTTGTCCATGCACAATGCATTGCAAGCACAGGGGCTTGTGTAGTAAACTCTTCAGGGCAGAACTCATATCTTCATACATTTGTATAGTTGCTGCTACAAAGGAGCTGTTATCCTGATTGTGGCCTCTGAACACTACAGTTATAATAAGAGCAGCTTCCTGCATGTGTCATAGGTTGTTTCCTACACTGTTTCTCTAAGTATACAATCTATAGCCCCAAGACTTAAACACATTTAAGTATATGAGTGTTCCAACTGAGGCCACATACTTAAAGTTAACATGTGTGTAAGTATTTGCAGGATCAGGGGCTATTCTTCCTGCCTAGGGCCTGTAATGTAAAGAGGTAGTGTGGAATAGTGGATAACACACTGGGTTGGGAGTCAGGAGAGCTGAATTCTATTTGCATCTGTACCACTGAGTCATTGTGGCTCTGGCCAAAACACTTGGACTGTGTGTTGATAAACAGTCATTATGTATAGAAAATTACTGTTTAGCCATATTCTGCTCCGTATACAGGAGCCAGGAGTAGGGATTGTGCTAAAATACTGATCTAAGTGAGCATGACTTTGTATGTTTTTTAAAAATCTGTAAACAAACAAAAGCAGGGATTTTGGAGACTCAAAGATTTGCATATAAGACGTAATCAATGGGTGAGATGCAGTATGTTACCACTTGATAATTCTGTGTGAGAAACTTCTTCTGGCTTTTACAAGAATTAATTAGCTGTAGTGTAAATGTATCTGTGACTTACATGACTAATTCAGCAAATTTAAAAATAAACATAACTGCTCCACATTATTAGTCCAGTACCTTAACTGTTCTAGGGAAAGTTGATTTGACTTCACTTTAGGGGAGAGACTGTCATGTTAAAAACATTTTTTTAAACAAATGTCCTTACTGCAGTTATACAGATAACACCATGAAATATTAAAATTGAACACTTTAAATGTGTAGACTAGGATTTTCAATGGGAGTTGTGTACCTAACTTTCTTATGCTCCTTTTAAAAATTCCACCAATACTCTATATATTTTTTATTTTTTCTATTTTCTGTGTTTGGACAATAAAAACCAAGCTAGTCAGTTTTACTTTCATGGCTCTCATGTGGCATAGTAGCAAAATGATGCAATGTTTAGGGTTAAGAATAAGCTGTACTTGGGTGTGAAAGCTTTTTTTTTTTTTAAATTCATGGAGATATCTCTACTTGATTTTATGTTTTATAAACTCTTATGTTTACAAACCCTAAATTAACATGACAGTGTCTCCCACAAGCAGTTTCCCCTCCAAAAATAGAAGTCAAATATTTGAAATTAGTGATTGCTTTTTAAAGACAGTTGATATTTTGGGATTTGAAATTTGTTTATAATATCAAATATAATATATTTGTTTATATAGTAGTCATTACAAATACTACTTAGCCTCTGAAGTCCATCTGCCAAAGTTTACAGAGAACTGTATTCCTGAGAGAGTGGTACTGTTGCTAACAAAAATGCAATTATCTGGTTTGAGATGGCATGTTTTTTCTCTTCTGAAGTACATTTAGACTGGTGCAGAGTAAGGCACAGCTTTCAAAAGAACTTGTGACTATCAGAAATCAATAAGATGGCATGGAGCAGAATAACTATGTCTGCTGAAGGCTGAGTCACCTCATCCAAAATCAATTCATACTTTACCAGTTTCACTTTAGAGCTCAAACTGTCCGTTTTTTCTCTCTCCTAAAAGCAGCTGTTGGAAAAATTAGAGCTTGTGAAACAGATGGAGAAGAGTGTGATGGCCATAATCACAGCAAACTGATTTATCTTAAAACCATTCTATATACTGTATTGCAGGTGTGGACAGGGGTCATTTAGCCACATACCACTTCTTCCCTTGCCCCCAACCCCTCACCCTTCCCTTGACCAGGATTGCATATAGAGCGCCCTCTGTGTGCTCAAGGCTCTACACAGAGGAAGGCGGCTGGAGCAGACTCCAACTGTGGGGGGGTGAGGGGGGCTTACCTCAGGCAGCTCCCAGTCCGCGGTGCAGCGGAGCTAAGGCAGGCTCCCTGCCTGCCCTAGCTCCACGCTGCTCCCGGAAGTGGCCAGCATGTCTGGCCCCTAAGCGTAGGGGCGGCCAGGCGGCTCTGCATGGTGCTCGCTGCTCGCGCCATGCCACCCCCCCCCCCTTCCCAATTCCCATTGGCTGTGGCTCCCGGCAATTGGGAGCTGCGGAACTGGTGTTCGGGCAGCGCATGGAGCTTCCCTGATCGCCCCTGCACTAGGGGCTGCAGGGACATGCCAGCCGCTTCCGGGAGCCGCGTGGAGCCAGGGCAGGCAGGGAGCCTGCCTTAGCCCCACTGCGCCACCAACTGGACTTTTTAGCAGCCTGGTCAGCAGGTCCCTTCTTGACCAGGTGTTCCAGTCAAAAACTGGATGCCTGGCAACCCTACAGCCAAAAGATTATAAATTGTCATTGCTTTTGCCAATTAAGTAATGCAGAATGCATTTAAACCAGTTTAATAGTATTTCCCCTCCCTTTGCTGAAGAGTCACCAAATTCTTAAACTCATAACATTAGCCATTTTCATGACCAACAAATTTTCTTGACATTTTGTGAATTACTAATGTTTTCCATCACCATCTTGTAGTTATTATGGCAATATATCAATAGCTTCAATCACCATCCAAAGTATCAAATCTCTCAGTTGCTCAGCATTCTGCTAAACAGGGTGCTGTGTTGTATGACTACATTTGGTGGACTGTGCTTTCAAAATGGTTCAAAATTCTTCAGCCTATACTAAAGTCTCAAAAACATACACGTGCTAAACTTTAAGCACATTCATTCAATTGGGCTACACACATGCTTAAAGTTATGAATGTGTAGAGTAACTGTGTTCAGGATGTGGGCTTAAAACTGTATATTGTATTCATACATCTGGCATCAAGAAACAGAACACACACATCTGTGTAACAATTAGAAATCAGTGACTAGTAGTAGTAAAAAATATACACCAAGTAATGCAAATCATGGGTTATACTGTGGCAACTGTCAACTATTTTTAAGCATAATTCCCCACTAAAAAATTGCAACTCTGATTAAAAACAGAAGGCATGAAATAGTCCACTAATAAGACTTTGCAATGTTATTTCCTCCTAGCTAAGTCTCACAAAGCTCCTCATAAACATTGAAGGGGCACTAAATTTAAGGTAATCTCACTTCTTTCTGGAAAAAGAATAGCTACTATATTTACACCAGATCCCTTAAAACCAAAGATTAGTGGGAAAATCTTTTTCAGTGTATTTACTTCATGCACTTGACAGTAATTTGTATCTAGTCATTTTCATTGTTTTCTCTCTGCAGTTGTGTCCGTTTTTGTGGGGATGGGGAGGGGTGGGGTGTTATGCAGTAATAGAGGAGAGATTATTTATTCAAAACTGGAATATGTGATTGCAAAACCAAAACCATTGGCAGAATGCGTCTGGAAGTTCTAGTACCTGTAACTGCTTTTATTTAAATTAATGGTGCCCCTTGATTATGGGTATTGAAGTCAAGTATTATGTAAGTTGAACAGGTGGCTAACCTGAGGCAAAGTGCTTAAAGGTGATCTAAGTAAGTGGGTCGGTGAGACTTCATGAGAGTATGGGGGGAATGAAGATTTTTATTGAAAATTCAGCCATCCAGCGTGGAATTGTGAAAGAGAGACTCCTTGCCTCTGCCAGCTCCCCCCATGACACCCTCTGTGCTAACAGAGTCACTGCCTCCTTATGAGCAGCCCAGTGACAGTGCGGCGCCAGGCCCACTCCCCAGCTTGGCCTCTGCAATAGTAGAGATTAGGAGCCAGAATATCTGAATTTTGCAGCACTGACGGTGACGCCCCTGCAAAGCCCTGATCCGTCCCCTGCTGCAGATCTCGGCAAGCACCGGCTGGAGACCAAGGCTCGTCCCCGCCCCGCGCATTGCCCCAGTGAGTCACTCCCGTTCCCCCGCCCGCCTCGGCCAGGCTACCCTGACGGCAGAGGCGGAAATGAGGAGACTCCTGCATCACGTGACCCACGGTGCACCCTGCAGCCCTCGCCCGACACGTGACAGGCTCAGACCTAACACATCCACTGACGAGTGAGGCCCACCGAAAGCGAAGCTGGTTGCGTGCCAAGGGCGGGGCCGGGAAAGGTAGAACAGCAAAGCGGGAGGGGGCTGTCAATGCTAGAGAACCACAATGAGTCTAGACTTGAAGATGAATGTGGATGAAGGCAGGGTGTGGATTTTAGGCAGATACGACTCTGGGTTAACTCCTTGCCAGGTACTTTTATTCCAGAACAAAAATGCCTTATTCTGAATTAGTTTATGGGTAGGGTGGCCACGCCGACATTCCCTGCATAACGGATGAGCTGATACTCCCAGAAAAGGCCTGGGGCCGCCCCTGCTGGCTGAGCTTGCACACACACCGGGCGTGTGGCCCTCTTTAAGGGCACATCACCCCCGGACCCCACTGACGGGATTTTGCCTGCATGGTGTTTTGGAAGTCACACCGGAAGTCACACTGTACAGTGTCAGCCAAAACTTGGGACAAAATCTGAGATAGTTTTGTCTGGCGCTGGACAAAGCATGTCAGATTTTGTCCAGGTCGGGGGACAAAGAACCCCAAAAGAGGACTGACGCCCAGCTCCAAAAAGGATGACTAGCCTCGCTAGTTTACACTGGTTTAAAGTCCTTCAAACTAAAACACTCTTATTCTTCACTATGTGCACGCACGGAGTGAATCAGCAATAGCTCTTCCCGAGTAACTTCCCATTTAAAAACGGATTAAGATTAAGCGGAGCGAGTGTCCACGCGGGGTGCCTGTTACAGCTAATCCGGAGTCACTCCACGTGTAGACAAACCGCAAAGGGTGGAGGGGAGCGGCTGCCTGCCTAGGGCAGCTCAGACCTGCCCGGTCGAGAACAGAGCTGTGACTGTGTCACGGCTTCAGCTCCTCCCCCTTGCCTGGGGAGCCGCCCCGGCAGCCGCCGCCGCGCGGAGCAGAGTGCGCCTGCGCGGGCCGCCCGGGTGGCTGGGCCGTGGCGGAGCGTTCCATGGCCGGCGGCGCGGGACCATGACCGATTTCAGCGAGGAGCAGCGCAACGAGCGGGAGGCGCTGGAGTCCATCTACCCGGACTCGTTCACGGGTCAGCCGCGGCGCCGCGCGGGGGGGAACCCGGCGAGGTGGCGGCTGGCGCAAGCTTCCCTGCAGCGGGGCGGGGGTGGACCTAGGGCCCCTCTCTGCACAGCGCGCAGCTCCCCGACCGCCTCCCGGCTGCGTGCCGGGGAAGGGGGCCGCGGGCTGGGGTGGCGGAGCTGCGCTTTGGGTCGCAGCGCAGGGGGCAGTAGCCACGCACCTAGCAGCGGCTGCCCCCGGGCCGGTGCAAACAGGGTCCAACGGGTGCGGGGGGCCCTGGTCCTCTTTAAATACGCCGGTTACACGGCACAAGCCTCGCGGGAGTCCTGGGAGTTACCCTAGGCTTCCCCCGGGGCAGGGGGCAGTAGACCCGGGCTGGCTCCTCTGCCACCTGCCCCGCTGAGCAGAGCGACTGGGTTAGTTCTCACTGGCCCCGGGCTGCTCCCAGCCCCTCCTAGGTTCCTGACCTTGAGTTGCTTTTCGCGTCGTGTGTCAGTCTGGTTTCTGTGACACCCCTTGTTGCTGCTAGGCCACAGCACTCCTAGCTCACCCTGCTCCAGCAGGACGCGGGCGAAGATCTAGGGCGAGCACCTTTGGGCGAGCCTTTACAAGCAGGGCTCTTGTGGACACTTGGGTGGAAATTAAAGACAAAAATGAGTTAACTTGATGCCCTGCTCAGCTTTCCTTTCTCGTTTCTGATCCTCGCCAGGCATGTGGCATTGCTGAGCAGGTAACAGATGCTCGCTTTGCCTCCCTACTTGTTGCATTACCATTACCTGGCTTTTTTTCATAGTTTCACAGGCCAGAATGGAGCATTGTGATCATCTAATCTGCGCCCCCCCCCCCCCCGTAAAACACAAGACACAGAGCTTCCCCCAAATAATTCAGTTTTGCTTATTGCTTTGTAAAGACCTGTGAGGTAAAGGAAGTGGCAGTAAATCTGAACTCTTCTTATTCTATACTTAATTAAATGTGCAAGTGCTGGGGTTCTTTCTTTCTTTTTCAGATTCTTATTTAATTGTCTTGCTGCTTATTTCAGCCTTTTAAAATCTGTGTTGAAATTATTTTAGCTTGGTAAGCCAAAGGTATATGAATTTATTACCAGTGACTCAAGATGCAGAATCATTGAACATAATGAAGTCATAGATTAAAGCTATAAAATGCCATTTAAGCTGAGCCAACTCTCACTGCTAGGATTTCCTCAAGCCCAGAAAAAAGTGTATTGCAGTTTGCAGCAACAGCAACAACAGGGTTTAGGTCAGATTTTAAGACTTTTTCATGACATTTTTTTCACTTGCTTACACTCCTGAATAATCAGGTGAAATTCACTCTATCTTCCCAGTGAAGATCCAGAACATCCCCTGTGGCCATTACTCCAGGCAATGTGCTACAGCCTCTCTGAAAAAATTGTACAATGAACTGGAGCCACTAATCTGCAAAATTGTGGGTCTCATGTGCCCATCCTTCTTCCCAGATTATGCACAGTTGTCAGAGACCCCCCCATGTGGTGCCGCTCTTCTAGGGGCTCCCTACATAGTCCTCATAAAGCAGTGGTTCTCAAACTTTTGTACTGGTGACCCCTTTCACACAGCAAGCCTCTGAGTACGGCCCCCCCCCCCTATAAATTAAAAACACTTTTTTATATTTAACACTATTATAAATGCTGGAGGTGAAGCGGGGTTTGGGGTGGAGGCTGACAGCTCACGACCCCCCATGTAATAACCTCATAACCCATTGAGGGGGTCCCAACCCCCAGTTTGAGAACCCCTGTCATAAAGTGTGTAACTGGTGATTAGGACTTTGTTTTGTGGTCTTAGGTTAATTTAAATTTTATCTCTGAATTGTTCATGTCAGCAGTGAATTTCCTTCACCTGTCATATCACTTCCAAAGTTAAATTGCTGATTCTTTGAGGCAGGATCCAAGCATTTCTGTTTGCTCTGAAAAGTACTTCCGACTTTTCTGGTGGCTTTTTAAAAATATCAATAGGAGCTGATTTCTATTTTGTAGAGTTGCTACATATTCTTCCTGTAATAAAGATAGAAATGCACCCTTTGCAGTTCTTCTGCTCATCAGTGAGACTGGTAATGAATAGGTAGTGAATGCATTTAGACCCAGAAGGCACCTGGTATTCAGTATGCATATAATTAATTCATAAACAGACATATTAACCTTCTTTTACTCTAATGATTTGTTCTCCTATATCCTCACAGAGAAAAACTTAATCAAAACTGGATTTGCACTGTGTCTATATACTTTTGGTGGACAAATATTTTGTGTGAGATTGGTACTACATGTACACTCTGTAATAGCAGAAGAACAAAACAGACACATTACATCATCAAGAAGAGAAAATTCTTAATCTTGAGGAAAAAAAATTAATGTATTGGAGGCTTCTTAGAGACCTAAAGATGTTCCATTTTAATGAAATAATAGGAACAAGGTAGCACCAATATGCTAGTGAAGAAGAGGTGTCTGACTTCAAAAATCTCTCATTTATTTACTGTTTCTTTTTTTTTAACAGTATTATCAGAAAACCCAACAAGTTTCACTATCACAGTGACATCGGAAGCAGGAGAAAATGATGAAAGTAAGTTGGTCATGGGGAAAACTTTTCTTTATAACTTTTGAAATTATAAGGCCTGATTGTTTTAAAATATTATCCCAAAAATCTGTGTCCTTCGGGTTATCTCTAATAGATATAATGTGAAATAACCTGCTGTAGGAAATCTGGTTGTCCTCTTGTAAATGGGCTCTGAATATCGGGTAGGGCTACAGCGGTAGTTGGTGTTTCAGAATAGTTTACGATTATGTTTTCCTAGATCTGTTACTTAAGAACTCTTAATCCACTGTTAATATGTTCTGATCAGTAGATTGTGACTTGCCCAATCAGAACAATTCCTTGTGATGTTTAAAGTATAGCTTACTGTTACCACTAGAAATGTAAAAACAATGAGGAGTCCTTGTGGCACCTTAGAAACTAACAACTTTATTTGGGCATCAGCTTTCGTGGGCTAAAACCCACTTCATCAGATGCATGAAGTGGAAAATATAGAGGCAAAATTTGTTAGTCTCTAAGGTGCCACAAGAACTCCTCATTGTTTTTGCTGATACAGATTAACACAACTACTGCTCTGAAACCTATCACTAGTAGTTGTTTGTTGGCTGGGTGTGATCCTGCTTCTGTTGAAGTCAGTAAGAGCAGGTCCTTAATCAGTAAACATGACAGTGTATGTAAAGTGTAGATTTGAAGTGTATAGCAGTTCAAAACTGCAGGAAGCTCTGTCAGTCAGTCACAATAATGGTTCAGTATGTCTTCGTATCACAAACTAGCTGCTCAGTACTCAGTCTCTGGTCACTGTACGAATGTTGACTAGGGTATTTACATACCAAATGTTGTGGTACAAATAGGCTATATAATGGTTCGGAGTAAGAAATCTTTTTGGTGGCGTGGTGTACTAGATTGGCACAGAACTGGGAGCAAGGAACTGCTGAATTCTAATCTTGGATTTGCTGCTGGCCCACTTTTTAGCCCTGGACAAGTCACTTAATCTCTCTGCCTTACTTTATTCTTTAAAAGGGGATATTGCTTGCTGATCTGCAGTACCTCAGAGGAGTATTACGTAGACTAATTACTATTTCTAATGTGAATTGCACATGTAAACAGCTAGTAAGTGCTAAGAATTATCTCATGTGTAATGGGTAACTTTTATAGCACATCTGAGGGTTAATGATGAGTTGAGATTCGTATATTATATTCAAACCAACTGTTGTATTACAGCATGTATGTAAGGTGATAGTTCCATTTTTAAACTACTGTTTTTATTTAAAAACCTGTTGTGGATTGTTAAACAAAACAGGATTGTTATTCTAATATAAACCTAAGCATTAAGAGTTAATATTTATGAAGTTTGAGGCTGTCACACTAAGATTGCCTTTTGTACCGTAGCTGTCCAGGCAACCCTTAAATTTACCTATGGAGAAAAATATCCAGATGAAACTCCACTTTATGAAATATTCTCCCAGGAGAACCTTGAAGATAATGATGTCACAGACATATTAAGCCTTCTAGAACAACAGGTAAGGCAAATTAAGAATATATCGACTCTTCTATTGATGTCATTTCATAAATCATTGGTTTGAGAATTAGGGACAGTAAATTCTGATGCTAACTTAGAAGAGCATATGTCTTATGAATTGGTTTGTACATTCTGCTGTGGGGAGTGACTCTGACATTAACTTGAGTTTAATTTTCCAAACCCTAAGACTTTGCTTTTTGACCATTATAAAAAGTTGCATAGTGTATATTTAAAACAAAACATGATGATGATTTTTTAAAATGCTATGTAAGAATAACAGTTCAGCCACATAAAGATGCACGATCAAGCTTCAGAAATGGCCATGTTAAACAAGGTACAAAGAAGAGCTACTAGGCTGATTGGGTATTGGAGGGCCTATCTTATGAGAGCAGACTAAAAGAGCTTGGCTTGTTTAGCCTGTGGCCTGGTCTACACTACAATGTCAGTGTCTACACTACAGCCTTGCTCTTGACGATGTAAGTGCCCTACTACACCAACATCATAACTCCACCTCCACGAGAGGCCTAGGGCTTGTGTCCGTGTAGTTAGGGTGAGGCAGAGTCTGTGCAGACACTGCATTACTTACTGTGGCTGTTCGCTGTCTTGTCAGTTTCACAGCAGGAATCTGAAATTGACAAGAAAGCAGGGCAGCTAGAGCCCAGCTGTCCCCATTCCCCTGGGAAGCTGGAGTGAGAAGTCTGGGTGGCAGGAGCCTGCTCCCGAGAAGACCGGGCCGTTGGAGCCTGCGCCTGGCCGGGAGCTGGGCAGCCTTGTAAATTTTACAGCTTCTTGAGCCGTGATATTGACAAGACTGCCTGGCTCCAGGCTTCAGGGGAGGGCAAGAAATCGGGGCAGCTGGACCCCGCTCTCTAGGGGCGAGAAGCTCCAAATGGCTTCTTGCCCCTAGGATGGGGTGGAGCAGGCTGCTGGGGGGCAGCCAGGCGCCCGGCAGGGAGCTGTCAGCAGAGCTAAGAAACCGGGTTTTCAGCTCCCCACACTGCCCCTCTTGGTGGAAGCACTCCTGGTGAGGGGACACACCACCAACCCAAGGAGGGTAGTGGACATGCACCACCACAGTAATTTCTGTGGTAAAGTTGACCTAAGATAGATCGACTTATGTTTCTAGTATAGACATACCCTAAGAAAATGAAGTCTGCAATGGGATCTGATTGCTCCCTATAAATACATGAAGGGGGTAAACACCAGGGAGGATGAAGAGCTATTTAGTCCTTTAGCGTATGTTAGCACAAGAACAAATGGGTATTAACTGGCCATCAACAAATTCAGGCTGGTAATTAGAAGGTTTCTAACTGGCAGAGAAATGAGGTTCTGGAACAGCCTCCCAATAGGAGATGTGGGGCAAACAACTTAGTTTTAAGAGAGAGATGGACAAAATTACAAATAGGATTGTTTGAGAGAGTTGTTTGTGATGGTGGGGAGGTAGGGCTTGGCAGCTGCAGCCCTGGGGATCCTTTCTGGTTCTTGTCTGATATTCCTAAAATCTCATGCTCAAGGGCTTCGGCCAATCACTTGCTGGGATCAGGAAGGGATTCCCATATCTCCCCACCCCCCACCCCATTTTTTTCCTTTTCGTTTTCTCTGAGGCATCAGAGATGGCCATGACTGGAGATGGGACGTTGGATGGGGTGGGCTGGTGCTCGGAGGTGGCATCAAGCATTCTTTCTCTCAGGTGGCTGGCTGGCTGGTTCTTGCTCACATACTCGGGGTCTAACTGATCACCATATCTGGGGGTGGGAAAGAATTTCCCCCCAAGTCAGATTGGCAGTGACACTGGAGTTGTTTGCCTTCCTTTGCGCCATAGGTGCAGGTAGCTTATCAGGATCATCTGGGTATATTTCATTCAATGAATCCCCTGCCATTGCAGAGGTCTCGAGCACTGGTCCCTCCTATTCTCTGCCAGTGGCACGTAATAGTTTAGTCTACTGTGGGCTGTAATTCTTTGGTCTAATTTTGGTTGTTGGGTTTAGTGTGTGGGTGTTCGTGGCCTGTGATGTCCAGGAGATCAAACAAGATGATCTGGTGGTTCCTTCTGGCCTTAAACTCTGAGTATGACAAAGTAGAGTTAACTTGGCTCCTATGTTAGGGTTCACAAACACAACAACAAAACTTTAAATAAATTGTTTAACACCTCTCTTGCACCACAACTTTTGCTTAGCACAGATGCCTTTGATTGTATTTAACAGTTTTGTGTAAGTTGCCTGATATTAAGACTTCCAAAATAAAGGAAAACTCACTCTTTGGACAACTAGAGTATAAGGAAGTATTAAGGCACTTAAGATAGAAACTAAAATCAAGACAAGACCTTGCTACTAACTGTGAGCTAGCTGACTGATCCTAGCATGCATGTTTCTCGTAGGACTGGTAAGAGCAGTGAGGACTGGGGACACAGTGCTGAGATGCGGCCTTAGCTACCGTATTGGCTTGTGCGGGTAATTAGTAAGCACCTGTGAGTATGTCTACCCTGCAGCTGAGAGTGAGCCTGCTAAAAATAACAGTACGGAAGTTACAGCTTGGGCTCTCCAGCCCACCCAACCCCCTGGGTCTGAGCTCGAGCTACTAACCTGAGTCTCCTCCAGAGTTACAGTGTCCACTTCACTATCTTTACTGTGCTGGCTCAAGCTCCATTAGCACAAGTCAGTCTTCTGGGCTGGAAGGCGTGCTTTGAACTGCAGTGTAGACATACCCAGAATGACTCTAGGAATTCATCACTCGGGAGTTCCGTCCCCACCTGCTTTAAAATTATTTAATTTAACAAACATTTTCGGTTTTTTTGGTTAATTAGCAGCACTCTGTATCACCTTCCTGCCAAGAGTGCGGGCTATAATCAGATGGGATTAATAACTTGTTGTGAAGATAGTGATTAGGGATGTAAAAGTTTAACCGGTTAACCAGTAAGCATCAGTCTTAACGGTTTCGGTTAATGATTAAACTCCGCTACCGGCCCCTCACCCGGGGTCCTGCTGCTGGCCTGGGGTCCCGGCAGGGGGATCCCACGTAAAACGTGGGAGTGCTGCAACACCCCCCGCACTCTTAGTTCCCCGCCTATGTGAACTCCTTAACGGTTAATCGTTTAAACAATAGAATTTTAATAGGTTTAACGGTTACTATTTTTAAACCCTATTTACATTCCTAATAGTGACCTGAGAGAACAGTGCTGATGTTTTGCTGCTCTTCCCTCCTCTTTCACCTGGGATCATTTTAAGTGGCTTAAACCAGTGAAATAAATTTGACTCAATTTCCAAAACTGGTGCAAGGCAATTCAGCAGTGAAACTTGCATTCCTACAGGGCTAAGCATAAACACTTTCCAGACAGGCGGAAGGTGTAACCTCTCTGTCCACAATGAGTTTGCCTAGTGAATTGCCTGAGGGTGCCGCCTTTTATGTTGCAGGCAGAAGAGAACTTGGGGATGGTAATGATCTTCACTCTAGTGTCAGCTGTACAAGAGAAATTAAATGAAATAGTGGATCAAATAAAAACAAGACGAGAGGAGGAAAAGAAACAGAAGGAAAGAGAAGCAGAGGAGGCAGAAAAGGTGGGTGAAGTATTCCATTTTCAACTAACAATTTTCTGGTTTTCCTTCCTAAAGTTGCTGTAGGATTGGCTAGTAGCAGAATTGTCCCAGACACACACAACTAGCAGAACCAAAAGCAATATTTAAAAGTTCAGACGTAGCCACACATTGAGCACAACTTCATTGATTTAATAAATCATAAATATTGCACTTTCCAGGTTGAACCTTTCTGGTATTTACTGAATGCATAATAGCTTCTGGCACTGCTTTAAAAGCTTGGGGCATGTCCTCTGAGCACTCCACTCCCTTTGGACCCCCAAACAGCACAGAGAGTGGACACTCACATTATCCCTCTAGCCAAATATTCTTCCCTGAAATGAGAGAGTGCCCACTTAGTGCAGAGCTGGCGTTAACCAGCTGTATGCCATCCTCCGTGTGGCTTTCATTTTAAGTGGAAGGAAGGGATAAGGAGCAGAAGGGACTGGAGTATATTCCATTTACCCTCATACTGTTCTCAGATGTTGAACAGTCCCTGGGGCACTGTGGCCGGCTGTTGAAGGTTTGAACAGCCTGTACAGTTTTCTGATGCCTCCTTTCCCTCCTTTATAACATGAATGCCACCAAGAAGGGGGATAGGATAACTCCATTCCTCTGTCTCGGTCGATTGACTTGATGGAAAGGAAGTTGGATGGCTCAACCTCTAGTGTCAGCCAGATCCAGTAGCCTATTCACTGTAGCCTGGTATTTGTTTGCCACCACTAAGTAGCTCTTTCCATTCTCAAGATGTGTTAGAAGAAATTCCATCACTTCATTCGGTAGCAGCTAGAGGGCTGTAGGACTCAATATCCCTTCAGTTGGGATCCCATCACTGTAGGTCTGTTCACACACTCATGCTCTTTGGTGTTTCCCTGGTATTTACACCTCAGAGTGCACTGCATTTCTGAAAGCCCACATTATGAGGGTTTGGCTGTGGCCTTTTACAAGCACAAAGCACTCTGGAAGCCCCATAGTATGGAGGAATGTGATTGCACAGCAGGGTCACTATGTAGTTTCCACATGAGGGTGGTGGTGGAAGGAACAATTATTCTCCTCTCCCTCCATGATAGAGGAGGAGTCTTGCTGGTCGTATATTTCACCCCCCCCTCTGTGGTACAGATATCAAATATAAACTTGTTCTGTGGTTTTAGGAATTTGAATAGCAAATATTCATATACAAAGCATATCTGTCCATCCTTACCACTCATGTACCCGCCCCTTGTTCCTTGTGACTTGACCTAAACCACTAATAAGGTGCACTACCCACCTGTGCATATGCTGCTTTATCTTATTGGTATTACATTATAGATCCAAATCAAAACAGGGATTTTCTACAGTAGTTTTCTGTGAATAAATTTGCAAGCCACACGTAAAAAGAAACAAGAATGTCACACTTTTCACTTGGGCCTGGTCTACACTAACCCCCCAAGTCGAACTAAGGTACGCAACTTCAGCTACGTGAATAACGTAGCTGAAGTCGACATACCTTAGTTCGAACTTACCGCGGTTCAGACGCGGTCCACACGCGGCAGGGAGGCTCCCCGTCGACTCCGCGGTACTCCTCTCGCCGAGCTGGAGTACCGCAGTCGACGGCGAGCACTTCCTGGTTCGACTTATCGCGTCCAGACCAGACGCGATAAGTCTAACCCAGAACTTCGATCCCCAGCCGCCGAACTAGCGGCTGGGTGTAGACCAGCCCTTGGTCTTACTGTAGTGTGGGTTAATTTGCTATAAGAAACCTAGTTAAAATTGGTGCCTAGTAGTTACTGCTTCTTGGTATACAATAATTTCAACCGTAAAGAGAATATTAATCTTCACTCTTTGCTTTGCCACTGAGCTCTTAATTTTTTTTCTTTTGCAGCTATGTTTCCATGGCACTCCTGTTACAATCGAGAATTTCCTAAGCTGGAAAGCAAAGTTTGATGCAGAGCTCCTAGAAATTAAAAGAAAAAAGATGAAAGAAGAAGAGCAATCAGGCAAAAATAAATTAAGTGGTATGACTTTACAATTTTCTCCAAGTTTGCCAACTTATCAGACCAGTATGTCAGATAATGAAACCATGTCCAAGAATTTTAATTTTTATACTAAAAGATTTGTCAGACGCCAGTCAATGTCTGATTGTTAACAGGGAAGATTTATCTTGTAAATTGAGCGTTAGTGTCTTACTGTTGTGCCTTAGAAAGGAGGCTTGAGCATTTATGTTGGAGCAAGTGTGAGTCCTAAATGTTTCCATTTCTCACATGAAACCCATTCACAGCATCAAGGAATGGTGAGGAAAATTGGAAAGGGGAGGAAAATGGAGAGTGCTACGGTAGGATAGTCTGTATTGAACTGGAACATACAGATTGCCAGCTCCACATTAAATTATTCAGCTGAATGTAGATGTTGGTATTGTTTCTGGTTCGTTCTACAAAATAGGTGATATATTTGTTAATGCATGAGACAGGTAACTAGTATAAAGAAGACACAATCTCTTGTGCTCTGAGAGATTGAGAAGCAGGGTTTGGTGGTGTTGCAATATTCTTACTGTCCGTATAATTTGGTTTAGTCTGCCCATATGCCACAAGGGGGCAAAATTGATATCAAATGGGCAAAGCCTGAGTTACCTGTAGGAACTGTCTATGGAGGAGGAAATCTTCACCCCCAGACAACTGCACAGGTTGGTTGTGGCTGCAGCAATTACCTCTGGAGAGGAGTAGTGATTATGACCTGTCATTGGACCCCTTCCCTCCAATGGGATTACAGCCTCGTAGATCCATATCTTCTCTTTTTAGGACCATGCTGGCCCACTGAAAGTATCCCCTCCATGTTTAAAATCAGGGCAATGCTGCAGAGCTTGGCTCCATGGCACAGAAAGGGTGAAGACCATATATAGACTTTCTGCTGGCTGGCCTCCCGCATAGCTGAAATGCATCATTTCATTGTGTTTAAGCCAATTTGCTTGTGCATGAAGAGAACCAGGGTTGTGCCAACAAAGCAAATACTAATGGTGTAGCTTGTGTGGAATAGGTATATATCAGAGATGTGGCTTCAGATCCTGAGGTATTGACTTGGATGGGAGTTTGACTGAATAAGGACCTCTGGATTTGGCCCCTGCAGTGTCAGAGTTTTTTGCAGTATAGTTGTAGCCATGTCAGTCCCAAGATATTCGAGAGACAGGATGGGTGAGGTAATATCTTTTACTTGACCAACATCAGTTGGTGAGAGAGACAAGCTTTCGAGCCACGCAGAGCTTCTCCTCATGTAACTTGTGAGGATATGTGTTGTTGTTTTTTTAATTTATTAGGCTAAATTCATGGAAATGTATGTTTGAAAGGATTTTGCTAAATCTAACGTTTTCAGAAGCCATGTGTAGTAGCAATACAAATAGAGATGTCTTAAGCAATTTAATATGAACATTAGGCATGTTAAATGGTTTTTGAGTAGATTGTAGAATCAGTATAAAATGAATCCCATTAAATTCTCGGAAGATAGGTAATGTGGGCATGGAAAGATTCATGTCCATTTTTATAAAAGGTTCCATTTTACTTTACATGGACACATGGTAGGAAGGGGAATCAAATACTTGCTGAATGCAACAAACATGGGCCTGATTGGCCCAAGTCAGTGCATGGAGACAACAATCTGACCTGTTGTGCATAGATGTGATGGATCCACAGTACCATATTCTTTCTTCCTTGACACTTCAGGAGTATTGTGTGTGGCCTCCAGGCTGCAGGCAAAACCAGAGGAGACAGTGGTGGTGTATCTCTTATCTCAGCATTGGTTTCACCTGAGGCTGCATTAATTCTTGCATGGAGTCCTTTTCCAGGGCCTGTCTCACCTGTAAGGGAAGGAATCCCAGCGAGATGGACAACACCTGCCCAGAAAGCTTAAAATTTAATAGACAAGATAGGCAAAGAAGTATCTGGTCCAAGTATAATCTGAGCAAAATGCCAAGGGAACATAAATTATCAAATATTACTTAGATGTTATTTAAATATCAAAATTCTAAAATACTCTAACAAAATTTCATGTTACATGATTTTAGTAACTACATTCCAAGCGATCGCTAATTTTAATATTTATTATTCCTTTTAGGAAAACAACTATTTGAAACCGATCATAATCTTGACACGTCTGACATTCAGTTCTTAGAAGAAGGTAAACTTCTGTTTTTTCCCGTTATTTGCACTATTGAAAGATTTGATTAGAAATCTGACTAAACTTCAAATTGTGTAGCTTAGTTATGGTTAAGGCTAAGATTTTGTCGCAGTTTTTTTTAGTAAAAGTCACGGACAGGTCACGGGCAATAAACAGAAATTCACGGAACCCATGATCTGTCCGTGACTTTACTAAAAATAACTGGGAGGGCAGAGCTAGGTAGAGGGGAGGAATGGAGTCCCAGCGGCCGCAGTGGGGTCGCAGCCATGGTGGGGACACAGCACATGCTCTGGAGCTGGCCGCAGCTGCAGGATAGGGTGTGTGGCCCCGAATGCAGCTACTTTCAAGACCCGGTCACAGTGGAGGGTGGGGGGAGCATGGCCCCACCGCAGCCACCAGGCTGGGGCGTGTGGCCCCGGCTGCAGCCCCTGCCAAGCCTGGGACGCCACAGGGCTGGGGCGTGTGGCCACGGCGGAAGCCATGGAACTGGGGCAGCAGGGTTCTGATTCCTGCCAGCCCCAGTTGAAAGGCAGGGGCGCACAGTCCTGCCTCCGACAGCATAGAAGTCACAGAGGTCCGGTAAAGTCACTGAATCTGTGACTGTCGTCACCTCCGTGACTAAATCCTAGCCTTAGTTGTGGTTAAAAGTTGTCTTAAATGTTTGTTTAATATGGGGAGAACTTCTTTAGTAGAAATATTGTGAAATAGTGTTTTTTAAAAAAACAAACCCCAAACACTGAGAGCATTAGCAAAATATATATTCTTCTAAACCAGTTTTAAGTTAAACCAATATAATTTTCCCACGTGGTTAAGGCCTTATTAACTCAGTCAGTTGATGCACAAGAAGCAATAGAGTTCAGCTGTCTCTTAGCTTTCTTGACTCTTTAGGTCTATCAGAAGTAAAAAAACAGTACAAACTTTTTTTTGTCACTGATATTGGCCGGTAAAACTCTGAATACAAATTGGGGAGTGTGTTTTTATGCAGGTCCTGCCATGTTGATGATGATGTCAGCAACTTTATAGCAGAAGAATAGACCCCTATGCACATTTTGTTTAAAGGCATTCGGGTCGTCACCAAGTTTTGTTTTTCATGTAAATGACCTTTACTTTAAAGCATTAACTTTTAAACCATATAGTGGCCCTAATTCAGTGTGCATCTGGTCCTGCTCCTGTCAGTGACAAAACGCCAACTGACTTCAGTAAGAAAAGGATCTGGCCCTAAATGAGGATGTTGCTCTGGTGTCCTCTACCATGGGCACAACTGAGGTGTGCATGACAACATGAGAATGAGTAAGAAACTGCGGTTTAGTTTTAAATAACTCCATTTTAATAGAGTGCCATATTGTAACTCTGACATTAATACACAATGGGAAGGGGATGGATAAATCTCAAACCTTTTCTATATTATTACCTTTTAATTGAAAACAGAGGCCTCCTGTGAAATACGCACAGGTGAGAAATATAAGCTTGGGATTGTTTTAAGTGGCCAGTAGATGTCACCGTTGTTCCATGCAGACCCCGCTGTGACATACTGGAGGTTTTATCAGTCATTTACGTAGCTGTCAGAAGGAAATATGAAAATGTACAAAGCTGCACTTCCAGTATCTCAATGGACTAGTCTACACTAGAAGCGCTAAAGTGGTGCAGCTGCATAGGCTGGGTCGCAGTAGCGGGTCTGGTGAAGATGTTCTATGCCGAGAGAGCTCTTCTTTTGGAATAATAAAACAACCTCTGTGAGAGGTGGTAGCTGTGTCCACGCTGGCACTTAGGTCAGTGTAACTTAACGTTGCTCGGGGGAGTGGCTTATTCAAACCCTGAGCGACATAAGTTATACCAACATAACCTGTAGTGTAGACAAGCCCTACGACTTGCTATTACCACCATTGAAACCTTGAAACAGGGTTTTTGTGTGTGTGTGTGTGTGTGTAAGTACAAGTGTTTGAATTTTATCTGCTCGCCTTTTCCCATTAGACGTCATAACTGATTTAAATGTAGAACTCTTGAATATATTTTTCATGTTTTTTTTCCATAAGTCTAGCCTTAGCAGTTCCTTAAAATATAATTTTATTTTTCATGTGCATAACAAATAACAAGGGATCGATGTATGAAAAAGGGTGGTTGGCTTTAAAGAAAAAAGTTTGTCAGGTTTTGTTGCTTCCTTGTAAATCTCATATAGCTTTGCAATTTTTCCCTTTATATAAAGTAACTGATACTGCTTTGTGAGCTAAATTCGTTTGGAAAAATTTAGACTGTTGCTTGATGTGCTGAGAAGAGGGAGGCTTGAGGCATATGGAGAGATCTTATGTTGGTCTAACCAGCATTCTTCTAAGCTGCTGTAGGTCAAATGTTCTCAAATAACATTCCAGTAGTTGCTGTCCTGAAAGCGACGTGTGGCGTTATGTTAGATGTAGTGTTTGAGGTGTTGTGTTTCTAATATTCCCATAGGCCCATATTTTGCACTTAAGCATAGAGTAACTTCATACACGTCATCCCATTGATTTTATTTATTTATTTACTTACACTTGTGTTTGCAAGATTGGGGCAATAGAGACCTTGCAGCTTCCAGGAATTGACGCACTTATCTTAGAATGAATTGGATAATTTAGAACTATTGCCATCTCTTGGAACTAGCAGTGGTAACATCAGTTCATCAATGGGCTGTGGATATTTTACCTATGTCACAATCAGCTCTGTTAAGCACTGAGGTGGGGAAAGCGTCATTATTCTAGTTAATAAAAAATTAGGGGGTGGTTGTTCTTCCATCTATCCCCATTCTGTTCAAGTAAACATGCATGAATCAAACAGTAAAGTTCATTAAATTTGGACCAGCAACATGGAATAACTTTAAATAGCTGGTACCTGGGAATTGTTCTCTGTGGTGAAGCAGAGGACACAAAGGTTCTTAGACAATCTGATCTTTTCAGCTAGCTCAGAGGGTTTCAATCTTTTTTCATTTGCGGACCCCTTTGGAAATCTTAGACACAGTCTGCGGGCCCCCCAGGGTCCACGGACCACAGTTTGAAAACCACTGAGCTAGCTGATGGAGAAGTAGCAGAGCAACGTGTCTTTCTTTTCTGTTTGAAGAATGAAGGAAAAACCCCTAATTTTCTTTTTCTTGTTTCCATAAAAATCCATAATAAAACACCATTTTGTTTCCCCCCCCCCATCCCCCTTACAGCTGGAAACAGTGTGGAAGTGGATGAATCCTTGTTCCAGGAAATGGATGACTTGGAGTTGGACGATGAAGAGGATGACCCTGATTACAACCCTGTTGATTTAGATAGTGACTAGACTGAATTTGCTGAACTGGCTGTGTCATTAGTATGCGTGGACACATGTAGGGAGAAAGAGGCAGTCAGGAAAGCCACAGCATCTGTGGCTCTACCAAGCATGTATTGGTTTTCATTTTTGAAGGAAAAAAACCAAACTCTTTTAATTTCAGGAGAATACTCTTCTGATGACTTTCATCGTAATTAATAAATTGACTTTAACATTTCAAATGTGAAATGTTAGGCATATTGTTAATCTGTATGAAGTCTAGAAATCTATACATCTGTTCTCTCTCCCTTCCCACCTCAATAACTGCCCTTGAAGAGATCAGACATGCAAGATGAAAAGGTGCTAGAGCAGATGCTGCATGTGCCACAATACAAAGGTGTGCTGAACACCTATTCTGTTATCTTCAGCCTGAGATACGTGTGGAAGTTCTGGTGAAGAAATGGGGAGTGCTTACTATAAAGCTGCTCTATCTGTGGGACTCTACAATGCTTCAAATACAACTTATTAATGGTGCTTCTAACCATTCTCATTCATTAACGGCTATAGAGAGACTGACTGGTGGTGACCTTTCAGCTTAACACCACCTCCTCAGAGTTCCATTTTAGATGATATCCTTCCTCTTCCCCATACTACAGCAGCACCAGTAACACTGCTGATGTTAAAGATAAAATCGTTTCTATAAAGGTGGTTCGATAACTTGGCCATTTCAGATTACATAGGGTTTAAAATTGATATCTTGGATACGATTTTTTAAAAAAAGGTAAAACCAGAGCAGTGAAAACCCTTTAATTCCTCTTGTTTTCAAATTTTAACTTTTTGGCCATAATCCAGACAAAGAATTTGGAATAAAGTTCTAAAGGACATGAAGGCCTTAAAATCATTTTCAAAAGTTTGATGGATCTGTTTGAAAGGCAACTTCTCTTTTGAACTTGTGCAGTAGTTAGCCTTATTGAAAATGTTTTGAAAATAATAATTTAATTAATGGGACTTATTTTCTACAATCAGCAGAGTACAAGACCACACCATTGTAGTTAAACTTGAGTAACAGTTCAGAATACTGCGTCTCTCTTAGTAATTACAAGGTGCCATATTATCTAGGTGTGACCCCAGTTGGCATTATCACTGTTGAAGCCAACCATTGTGAAAAGTCTGTTAGTACAAGATAGAGCAAAAAGATCCAGCCAAGCTGCAGGAACCAACACGAAGATGTTAGCCCAGCTGTTTTCTTGGCGTTACAGTGGCATCAACATGCTCTGTGCTTTGCTGCACTGTTTTGTGTTCCACAATAGTACATCTAAGAGAAGAGCAGTAGGATGGCTGGAAGATCACAGCCTATGGAGAGAGGTGAGAAATGGAAGACTATTGCTAATGGGAGGAAGATGTAGCATGGTACAATGTGGGTATAAGAGTAAGGAGGATGCTGTATTTGGCTTGTAAAAAGGAACAGGAAAAAATTTTAAATGAAGAAATAGAGGAAAGAGTGAATAAACCAAGGCAAGAGATATGAAGCAAAAATAAATAACTGAAATGTGGAGGGAGACATGGAGGGAGGGGAGAAGACACTATTCCATTGTAACTCCTCTGTGGTTATAGATCAAGCTGCAATAGATGTTTTCTATTGGTCATCAGTTATAAATGAAAATCCAAGGATCTCCGTGTTGCTAAATATTTTAGCAGGTTTACTTCTTGTTTATGAAGATATGGTCTCTCTCCATCTGATGGAAAAAATATTCATAATGTAATATAACATTTTTCAAAGATAACTTGAGGCTCTTTTTTATAAAGTGGTTTGGGATACTTTATAGGAAAGGAACTAAGTACAGGTATGACTTGTTAGTGTATGAGTGATTGTTCAGACAATAACTAGGCATAAAGATAATTTCAAGAGACAGGTCTCTCAATAAATCGGGAACAGGGGCTGCCAAGCCTCTAGATGATGAAGGGTTGTGTGTGCACTCTTAAATTTTAATGTATTTTTAGTATGACTATTTTAGCTATCAGGGCTTCAAACAAGTTAATTTTTTTTGTATGCAGAGTGTTTTCTGCTATTGCCACATTTGTTTTGAGACTAGAAATATTTAACTTTGTTACATATTTAGAAATGAGACCCTTCAGCCCAGAAGATCCTATGTAGCATGATAGTGTCACATTCTGGGATGCATTTCAGACCTATGAGGGCTCGCATCACTGCTTGGCCTGCAACCATAGGTGCCTCACAGTGCTTTACTGTTGTAGCTACCAATCTGGGCCACCCACAACCAGTCTGCCAGCATGCAGGTCACACTGAGTGTCCACGTATAGCTACAGACTTGGTCCAGCAACTCTGACCACAGCAGCCTGTCAGCAGCAGACCAGCCACATTCTGACTTCCAGCAACCTTGGTTACTACTTTCAGGGTGACCCCAACACTCTCCCAAATTTTCCCCAAAACGTGTTCTGAGCTGTCCAGCCCTCTTTTGGACTGTTCAGATATTAGAGGTCCTTTGCACCTGTAAGGGGTCAAAATTCAGCTGTTTGCTAGACTCCTGGACTTATCAAACAGTTCAGTTTAAACACAGCACTGAATTAGTTGTTAAAATGAAATTAGTAGTTAAAAAATGAAATAAGTTAATTTTATCTTAACAAGTTAGGTTTTAAGTGAGTACATGTATAAAGTATTAAAGTCAGAAATGGTTACAAGAGAAATAAAGACAAAATGCCTTCTAGTAGCTACAACTTAACAAGCTACCCTTGGTTCAAGGTAAAATCCTTACCACAGGGTCCCAGCAACACAGATGGCCGTATTCTCTGGTCATAGTTTCCCCTTAGAGTCAAAGGGGTGGTTACTTTGTCTTTCTTAGGTGAAAGAGAGCCAGAGGTAGGGAGTCATCCGTTGGGGGTGTTTTTGCCCCTCACTTTTATAGTGCAGTCACCCTTTGCAGTGGATTCTTCTAAGGATTACCCCTTAAAGCAAAGTTTATTCAAACAGTAAAGAAGGTGACATGGAGTCTGGCGGTGAAGGTGGCTCCTTGCTTTTTCTTCTTCCCTGTGTATGTTGAAATGCAGATTTGCCTTATCTCCTTCCATTTCCCCCTCTTGCTGTCTCAAGGACCCTATTTACTACTACTATGTACATTGAGGTAAACACACATTTCGTTGTGTAAGGTAAACCCGTTGAACAACTTTTGCCAAGGCAGGGCTGGGAGGGTTTGAACACGTGCTCACAATATCATACAAAGGGGGTTTATAACTTTACATATAATGTTGCTACATGTAGTAAGAAGACAGCCTGAAACATAAGGGCTTGTAGCGGAGGCTTGGTATGAGGCCTGGGATAAAGTAATGGTCATAACTTGCTAATATAAAGCAAAGTTAAGTTGTGAGCAAGAAGCAGGCCCTGCTCACAGAATCTGGCAAGAACAGGCCTGATATTGCAGAAACGTATATTCCTAAGTAATGCTAGGCATAAGAATATATACGCAAACACATTCCAGAAAGATGGTACCAGAACACCTTAATGCCAGCACATTCCTCAATGATAACAGAAACACTGACCCATTCTAAAGATAAGGTCAGGATGACAGTATGATGGATAGAGATGTTTCAATCAAACAACACCTACAAGGTAATGGGTGGCACCCTAATACGTCAGAGAGTGGCACCCTGATATATCAGGGGCAATATGTAATTTGTTTGCATTGGTGTATAAAGATGTATCTTAGTGGGAATGTCTTTGGCCAGACTAGGGAGCAGTGGAAAGTCCCACCACTGACTGAGCTGCATCCATTGTCACGAGCATACATGTCCTAGTATCCTCGTAGAGTCTGCCAGGTGCTATTACCGTGCTTCGTCGACAATAAACCTGGCCGGGCGCCTTCGCTACTAAACCAAGTCTTGTGGTCTGATTGGGCAGTTAGATTGGCGCCTGCTGTACTGGCTATCTGGCCAGAGCCAGTGCAGCAGCACACACAGAACACACGCACGAACATCTGACGACACTACATACATTTCACCATGATATTTTTGGCGAGAAAATTATTAGTTTCCAGATGATACTTTACAAAGGATGTTTTGTACAAAAATAAATTACAGTAGTGTGTGTAAGGTGTGAATACAGGGGTGCTTTTGGTCACAGTTACAGAATAAGATTATCTGTTCATATGACTGAACTACTTGTTTAGAAAGGTTTTAGTAGTCATTAGGGCAGTCAAGCGATTAAAAAAATTAATTATGATTAAGCGTGCTGTTAATAGAATACCATTTATTTAAATAATTTTGGATGTTTTCTACATTTTCAAATATATTGATTTCAATTACAACATAATACAAAGTGTACAGTTCTCACTATATTTTTGATTACAAGTATTTGCACTATAAAAAACAAAAGAAATAGTATTTTCAATTCACCTAATACAAGTACTGTAGTGCAATCTCTTTATCATGAAAGTTGAATTTACAAATGTAGAATTATGTACAAAAAATACCCTGCATTCAAAAATAAAACAACGTGAAACTTTAGAGCCTACAAGTCCACTCAGTCCTACTTGTTCAGCCAATCGCTCAAACAAGTTTGTTTACATTTGTAGAAGATAATGCTGCCTGGTTCTTGTTTACAGCGTCACCTGAAAGTGAGAACAGGCATTCACATGGCACTGTTGTAGCTGGCATTGCAAGATATTTACATGCCAGATGCGCTAAAGATTTGTATGTCCCTTGATGCTTCACCCACCATTCCAGAGGAGTTGTGTCCATGCTGATGATGGGTTCTGCTCGATAACAATCCAAAGCAGTGCGGACTGATGCATGTTCATTTTCATCATCATGAGTCAGTTGCCACCAGCAGAAGGTTGATTTTCTTTTTTGGTGGTTCAGATTCTGTAGCTTCCACATCAGAATGTTGCTCTTTTAAGACTTCTGAAAGCATGCTCCACACCTCATCCCTCTCAGATTTTGGAAGGCACTTCAGATTCTTAAACCTTGGGTTGAGTGCTGTAGCTATCTTTAGAAATCTCACATTGGTACCTTCTTTGCATTTTGTCAAATTTTCAGTGAAAGTGTTCTTAAAACAAACAGCCTGTGCAGGGTCATCATCCGAGACTGCTATAACATGAAATATATGGCAGAATGCGAGTAAAACAGAGCAGAAGACATACAATTCTCCCGAAGGAGTTCAGTCACAAATTTAATTAACGCTTTTTTTTTTTTTTTTTGAGCATGATCAGGATGGAGGCATGTCCTCTGAAACGATGGCCAAAGC